AGATGCTTAGCCCAAGTGAAGGGTAGCTTCATTTTAGGTATTTTTACGTTCCCACCATTTTTAGGGTCATTAAATTCATATTTCAGGCTCCTTATCTGCTGTTTAATATTAAGTGTGGATTAGGAAGAACTAACAAAGACTTCATAATTGTATCTGTTAAAGGGCCGCCTTCCTGAAATCCAATCAATCCCCTCAACACATCTACAATTTTGAATATGCTGTCATTTTCAACTATACTTCATAAGTGATACAGTTGTCACGCTTTCCTTATCTCACATGAACAAATTTTTGTAGTCTCTAAGCAGTCAATGAAATCGTTATGCTTTGGTTTTATGATTTTTAACTAAGGAGTGCTCTGTGCTTCTTGTTATGAACCGAGAGTAATAGAGAAGGAAATATCGAAGAAAGGAAGGTTTTAGAAGAAGAAAAGAAGAGAGATTACAGAAAAAGGATTCTCATTCATTCATCAAGTTAGGTTTCTCTCCTTCAGTACATAGTTTTATATAATTACAATGTACTATAGCTAATAGATTCTCGACAGATGTACATTCTATAATTAGTTGTAACAATTTCATTCTCTTGTTACAACTAAGGCAGACATCTCTGGTGGGCTCCCAATTGAATTCACTGTTGGGTTTGCTCTCTTTTTCAAAATCCCTAACCATTTCTCTGATTTTCCCAATTCCTTCGCTTCACTTATGAACCCTTCGTTTTGTTCTTCTCCTTCATTCGTGACAATTCCTCCCCCTTTAGACGATCCTTGTCCGCAAGGATCAAAGTATCAAATTTGTGATAACAAGACCAGAAAATCCTTCCAAGTTGCAAAAGAAGGAAGTCCATCCCAACTAATTAGCCATTGTTTGTAACCAACAACACCCAATATCACATGGTTAAAATGATCCCTAGGATGCACCCTCGAAACATGTCCCAATCTCATCAAATCAGCATTGGCTAAAATCACTTCAACAACATTTAGTACATCACCTTTCAAGGAGTAGTTTATAGGTTGTACTATAATTCCAATCCATTGAGCTTCATTAATCAGCAAAGCAGATGATATAGCTGCAGATAGATCAACTAGAGGTCTTGGTTTGGAAACCTTCAAGATGGGGCGGGTCGTTTTCTCATAGCTCATGAAATCATCACTATCTGTGGGACCTGCCTTGGAGAAATTATGAGATCTAAAAGCCAAGTGTCCAATGTGTCCAGTAAGAACACTCAAGACATAAGAACCAGTTTTCTGTGGTGGCAAAGGATAGGTGATTGTGTTCCTTCCAGGCTTTAGTAAAGTGTCACTAGAGCTTCTTAACTTACCACCACCATCGGCATTAAATGTAGCCATCAAAGTGAGACTAAGAGAATCAAGAGTTATATTGTTAGGAAAGCCACTCCTAACGGTTACAGATAAGTACCAGGATCTCCATCACATAACTCCGAAGAAGGACCGGGATTTCCAGAAAACGTAATTAAAGATGATACATCAAGCGGAACGGGGTGTTTCATTTCACTATGTGCAAGACTAACAACTTCTGATTGAAAAGCTTGGCGTTCCTTATTTGAGAATAAGCCTTTATCTAGTGAAAGCAACCGCACACAAGATGACAGGTAGCCAGGTTGGTCATTAAGTATTCTTTGACATTCAGCTAATAAATCTTCTTCATAAGTACCTGCAATTTTATTGACCCAACTAGCAATAATAGAAATTACCCCTATATAATTGTGCTCAGCAAAACCCTCAAATCGTCTTGAAAACGCATCGGACACTGTGTTATTCTTCCCTTTTCTGTATTGAATAATATACTCTAGCCCAAGTAATTTAGTCAAACCCCTTTTTTGGATCGTACTCGTCAAGTTTTGCTCCAACAAATATTTTAGTGGCTTTTGATCCGTTTTTATGAAAGGCATTGCTGTAATGCATCCTCCGACCATTATAGCTTGAACCAAGTTACTTAGCCGCTGTTCTTTTACCTCGATAGGCAGCAAATCATCACTTTCCTTCTCAACGTCAAATACTATCTCATCAACAGAGGCATCAATATTTCCCATGCTTGAAGCCATTTGAATCGCTGATGCTTTCAGCTCATTTAATCCCCTAGCAACAGGTTCTTGGTAAACCAGTGGACTCTGCATTTGTTGATAGGCTTCTCGCATGCTGTCGTACACTTGTCCTAAGCTTGCATTGTTATGCATACATTTGCGGGCTGTCGCTACTATTCTGTTTCAAAGCAGTTGATGCTTCAATGTAACCAAGCTTTTAGTATGCATAGGAGACTGAGGAATGACACCATTTGCCGGAGGGATGCCAATAAGACCACATAATATCATAAAAAATCCAAGAAGCAAGTCATAATGGAAAGAAGGTGGTTTCCTCAAGTTGAATTCCTTCTGCTGAGCTAGTTGCGAAGCTACACTGTGATCAAAATAATACAGGACAGCGATCATAGTTGCTGGAATAAAAGCTCCGATTATGTAGAGCACCGGAACCTTTAGCATGTCCTTAAACTTGAAGTGTTCGTGATGAGTCCGAAATGCTGTCTTGTGCGTGTCTTGTGGTTGGATACGGATTTTCCAGTTGCCCAAGCGTAAGTCTATTTTGGAAATAAAATTTGCCCCATGTAATTCATCCAAAAGGTCCTCAACAACTGGAATTGGGAATTTATTCTTGATCGTCTAGCTGTTTAGTTGTCTGTAATCAACACAAAAGCGCCAAGAACCATTTTTCTTCTTAACCAGTAAATAGCGAGAAGCAAACGGACTTTTGCTTGCTTGAATTATAGAGGAAGTCAACATCTGAGTGATCTGTTTTTCCACCTCATTTTTCTGATGATGCGTGAAGCGATAGGGTCGTAAATTGACTGGAAGGGAGCCTGGTATGAGAGTGATTGGATGGTCATGAACCTTGATAGGAGGCAGACCCGTAGGCTCATCAAAGATACTGTCAAACTCTTGTAATAAAGGCTCTAATTCAATGGGAACTGTTGAAGCAACAGGGTCCACATCGAGTACATATAATTCGTCCATTAAAGAAGAATCCTTTGCTGTCATTTTTTGCATTCTATTTCCTGGTATTGATTTCCAATTACCCATCGTAGTCTGACCTTGCATAATCATCAGTTTGCCATCCTTTTGAAAGCTCGAAGTCATGTCTTTACAGTCTATAAGAACTAGACTAAATTGCTTCATCCAATCGACACCAAGCACCATATCACTCCCACCAAGTTGAAGGATTCGAAAGTCATGATTAAAATGGAATCCTTGTATTGTCCACGATACTTGATTTGATCTAGTTGAACTGAAGACTTTTTCTCCATTAGCAACTATTATTGCTAAAAGTTGAGTGGAAACCATTTCGAGATCCTCCTTTAAGCCACTAACAAAAATTGACAATAAGAAATCCTCTCTCAATGTAGGACTTTGAATCAGAATATAGGGCTTAAGTTCTTCAAACTTATCTTTGTACTCGTCAACAGAACATTTTTGCAACAACTTACTAAATTCCTCCATAATTTTCGGAAAAGTTCTTTCGTTAAATCTATGACATATATCAGATTCAAATTCATGCCATAAGACCCGATATTTTTGCAAAATATAGCCATCAAACCAAGTTTCAGCCTTACCTCCCAAAATGCATTGCAGCCAACACCACTCGTTTTTCAGCAGTAACTCCATAAAATGGAAAGATTTTGATGCACTTTTGGATCCATCGCTTTGGATTTGTCCCTTCAAATATAGGTAATTCTATTCGAGGTCTTGTTGTCACTGATCCGAGACTCCCAAAAGACCCGTCGTTCATCAACAAGGGCTCCTTGTGATATCTTTGTTCCACTGCAGTCATCCAACTGCAAATCTGCTTTCGGCTTCTGAGGTGGTTCATCTGGTTTGGACTTTAGAATTCCAGGTTCCTCCGGTTGGTAAGTAAAGCCTGATTTTTCATTGATTATTGTCACATCCGCCGGTTGCTTACCATCAGGTTTTGAAGGTTTAGGAGTCTTCATCTGTTGACTGTCAGGGCTTTCGGTTCCTGCCCGTTCTTCTTACTGATTAAAATACTCAAAATTTGCTCAACGTACCTTTGAGTAGTGTTCATCCTAGACTCCAACGAATTGATACGTTTATCTTGTGCTTCCCACCACTTGGGAAGGTTGGTTTCATCATTTGCTTGCTGCACTGTTTTCTTTAAATCCTCAATATGCTTTTTGATGGCAGAGAGATCAATAGATTCGACCATGGTTTGGTTCTTCTTTTGCATATCCAGTCTGCAATTTGCCAGGAATTAGGGCTCCTAATACCAATTTGTTATGAACCGAGAGTAATAGAGAAGGAAATTTCGAAGAAAGGAAGGTTTTAGAAGAAGAAAAGAAGAGAGATTACAGAAAAAGGATTCTCGTTCATTCATCAGATAAGGTTTCTCTCCTTCAGTACATAGTTTTATATAATTACAATGTACTATGGCTAATAGATTCTCGACAGCTATACATTCTATAATTAGTTGTAACAACTTCATTCTCTTGTTACAAGTACAACTAAGGCAGACTTCTCTGGTGGGCTCCCAATTGGATTCACTGTTGGGCTTGCTCTCTTTTTCAAAATCCCTAACCATTTCTTTGATTTCCCCAATTCCTTCGCTTCACTTATGAACCCTTCGTTTTGTTCTTCTCCTTCATTCGTGGCATCGTTATGCTTTGGTTTTATGATTTTTAACTAAGGAGTGCTCTGTGCTTCTTGTTGTTCATGATGATGAATTTTTTATATCTCTGTCATTTATCACTATTATTGTTGGCCATGCAAGTATATGAATGGTGTTTAGAACTTACGCATTAAGGCAGTATAGCAAACATCTCGTTTCTACCCATTTGAGTAGTTCATTGTACGTTAGCGTTTAAGCGTCGTTTATTCCTGTGACTGTCCAAAACCAATGTAAGGGACAGCTTGTGATTTTTCCCCTTTTTTCAACAGAGCAATTATTCTTCTCTCTATCTCTTTATATGTCTTTTGATGCAGATGTCTTTGTATATTGGTCATCTATCATCTCGCACTCGTAGGGATGAGCTTGAACATGTTTTTGAAAGGTTTGGAAGATGCAATGTGAATCTGAAAGATGGCTATGGGTTTGTTGTGTATGACTACCCTCCAAATGCAAAGAAAGCTTTAAGAGCACTTCAAGGAAGAAATATCTGTGGGAAGCCATTAACTCTCACATGGTCCAATAAACAGCCTAGACCTTTCAAAAAAAATTCTAGGGCTGATCAGACATATGACTGTGAACCACGTAGGATGAGGAGTTCTGCTGGAGATTATGGTAATAGAAATTTTGATTTAAATGTTCAGCCAGATTGTAAGATGAGTATTAAACAACCTGAGTGTCATGGAACCGGGCTTAATTCTTCTGTCCTGCTTAATGCGGATATAGACTACCATCAAGACCATGCTAAACAATTTATTAGGGAAGATAATCATGAATATAGGGAATATTTGCTGAATGAAGATGGTCAAGACGAACCTAACCAGATGGATGATAGGTGGGATGGGCAACGCCATGATCATTCTAATGGTAATGACATTGAGCACGAAAGGGGTTTTGACCGCTATGTAGGCAATGACAAGAAAGCTGACAATGAAAATAGTCAAATTGTGTATTCCAGTGGTTGTCATGCTGAACAAAGCCCGCAGGAGAGAATAGCGACAGAGGTGATAGGTGGAGAAACTCTGAACCATCATAAAGACTCAAAACTGCTGCAAACTTGTTACATCTGCAGTGCCCTTGGTCACAAAAAGCAAAATTGTCCCCATGAAATTACTTCAGGAAGATATTCCTCCAGGTTTGACCCCAGGCATGACACAAACATTGTTAGAGGAGGTAGCGTAAAAGGTGTCCTAGCAAGTTTTGGATCCAGTTCTCGGGAAAAGTTGCAGCAAGATAAGGATCCCCAAAGAACAAAGAGATTCAAGAATTCCAGAAAAGCATCTGGTTCAGGAGGAAGGATTGAGAGATTGATAGAGAATGGAAGCTCCTTTATTGGAAAGGAAACAGACGGGGCTTGGGAAAATGACTCTGAAGGAAAGAAGCAAAGTAGGAGAGGTGGAACTCCACAAAGACATAATGCAAAGAACGCAAGATCAATTTTTCCTCCACTTCACCCTGATTGCAGTGCGACCAGATCGCGCTCAAAATCTAAATCCATAAAGCATATGCCAAGGTTCGTTTCAAAGTCTAGATCAAGATCCACATCATCCAGAGCATTTTCTCCATCTAAAAATCAAAGGCTGAGTTCAGTATCACGTTATTCTAGATCCAGAAGTTCTAAATCTAGCTCAAGGTCAAGCTCTCCAACATCCATCTCTTCGCCTGTATCACTTGGTAAGCCTTTAGCCTCATTGTCGGACAAGGGGCAATTTAATTTAAAAGGCTCTTTGGATAAGGCCAGGACATCTGAATCCAAGGAGATTATGGTTGAAGGTGAATGTGATGTTCAATTGGAGATTGCAAATTTTGGAAATAGCTTGGGTCCAATGACTATTGAAAATGCCGGTTTATATGCCAAAGTAGAAAGTGACGTGGAAAAAGACCAAGCTATGCAGGGAGGTAATTATGATAATCATATGACACCCAGGTCAGTTCCTCGAATTAAAATTCCAAGCACACCACTTTCAGCTAAAAATATATCTGCTGCTGAGAGTTTGTCTCCAGAGAACATGAGAGAGATAAAGGATCGTCAAGATTTTGATGCACTGACAACAGAAGATGTGATAGTACAACCTGTAGAGACTGATTCAGATACCTCTGTGCGTTCTACAAGCATATCGCCAGAGGAATTGTGTATGGTCATGAAGCATTATGGCCTAGAACCTCCAAATGAAAATGAAAGGTATCTATATGCAGAAGCTTACTTTGTTTCTGCTCGCTTGTGGCCTTGGGAGATAATCTATTACAGGAGGTTGAAGAAAGGTCCCATTTCAACTGAGAACTACGCCAGGCGAGTTGCACAAAATAAAGAATTTGGTATTGTTGATCAGTATATCAGAAGCTGTAATGGATGGGGAGAACTGAATCACCTCTGAGAAACTATGTAAATTTTGTGATTGCATATTTTATTTCTTTTGTGTCTGGAGAGAGACAGCATTGTGGCCCTACTTTGTTATATGGTTTTGGGAATTTACTAGATAAAATGTAACAGGTAATCTTCTAGAGAGTATTCTATACTTCTAGAATCAAAATGATATCCTGCATTTTCCTTTCTATAAATAGTTCTAGTTACATGATCGGGGTAAGTATTAGTGTTATGCATATTTTATGTATCAACTGTCAAGGCTTCTCTTGTTGTGGCAAATATGTAAAGCTTCTTAGCTCCTCATGCCAATATTACAATGCGCTTTAATTATCAAACTCATTATAGAAACTTTTTACTTGATTGTTTCATATCTAATGGTTTCCCCTCGCAAGAATTAACATTTTGTTCTGTTTACCGTTATTTATTGTATAACATCTTGTTGCTTCAATTAAACTTTTACAGACTATTTTTCCATGAATATCTTTCTAGTTTTAGTGTAGATGCTTGTAAATGTATATAGAAATTTCCATATGTTGTGCATTCAGTACTGCAGAGTGCCTTCTTGCATATAGAAGTTTAACTGTTAGACATAACTAGGTAACATAGATTATTGAAGTGAGGAGCTTAGGCCTTCCTTGTAGGATGGGGAAAAAAAAGAAAGATGGAAAAGTGGAAAATATATTTACTTTTTCGTTTCCGTTAGTCTGCCACAGAAGGAGATGACTTGTGTGTTTGTTCAGCTTGACTTTGTAGGAAATGCTTGCATACAAAACAAAACTAATGCAATCGTAAAGACGATGGTATCAGGACAATGTGAGATCTGAAGACAATCAGTATTAGATGCTTACATTGGTTAAAAATGAAAAAGGAAAAGAAAACAATACAATGCTTTAGCAATCTATTATGGAAAGCGTTCTTTGTTTAGTTTCTTGAATGTTTTTTTATTTAGCTATCAAAACATTGGATAAACTGTTTACAATTTGTTAGGTAAATAGGTTTACATGGCATTTTAGTGAAGTTGCATGTAATTATAAGGTACTATATGTTTAGAATTTTTTTTAACCATCGACGACAACACTGTTGTTTGAACTAATGTTAGACATTTCCGAATCCAAGTATCAGAGGCATCTTCAATTCCATTGAAACATGTGCAACCCTGCTTAATGGCTACACTGTTCAACTTGAACTATCGTCCTAATTGGTGCATTCCTGCTATGAGCTTTTATGCATCCCCCCAACCCCAAGATTACATTGAGAAATTGAAATTATTTCTGATCCTCTTTTGCAGATTTTTTGTGTGGCAGAACTTATGATTACATAGTGAAATAATGTATTGGTTTATATTCCCTATGCTAGTAGTACACGACTGGAGAGGGTTGAAAATAGTGAAAAAAAAGAAGAGAATTGAATGAGCTGAGTAAGAGTAGAGAAAGGGTTACCAAAATAGACAATGTCACCAGAAAGGTGGCATTTAGTGAGTGATGAAAAAAGAGTGCAAAATGAAGAAGAAAAGATTGACAACTGTTGAGGGGATTTAATATGTATTTATCATCTGACGCTGAATCTCCTTCCATCATATTCTCAACTGTCTCAATTACTCTTGCATTTATGTGTTTTAATGGTCTTTCAATCTAATAAGGCTCTGTTCTATTTCTTTTCTTCAATGGTGGAACTACCAATATCACACCTCCCTCTCTTTACCTAACCGCCATTCTCTTATTTAGTCTGTTTACATAATTTTGATGATACCTATGGAAAATGGTAACTCTGGTTAATTTTTCATCATGATGGACCAAGAGAGCGGACTGAGACCGGGCAATCGCCCTCTTGAAATCTCCAAATTATTATATATTTTATATATTTTTTATATATTTTTTTATTGATAATATGCTTTTACTTCTTAAAATTTTTATAAATTTACCCTCTAACAAAAAATCACCGAGGATTGATTAGTCCCCCATTCTGCATGTAATTGCAATGTAGATAGGTGAGAACTGAGAAGCCAATCAGGATTTTGTGGGCCAAAGTCAAGCAAATATACTAGAACCACAGTCCGAGTATAATTCCCCCCTCATTCTCAAGTACAAGAAAATCTAACTTTTTTGTCATGGGAATTTTACCCTTGTTCTCAGGGGATCCAAGTAAATTTTCACCCATCATTCGTTTTCACTCAGTTAAACATACTATTTCGTCATTGCCCCGCCAGCAACTTGCATGATATAAAATCACAAACACAATATTCTTCGAACAATATAAAAATTTATATCTTCTTTCTCAAAAGAAAACTTGGGTAGTTGCAGTTAAACCGGTTTTACATAGTCATCTGCTAAAGATGGAAGAACTCTAAACTAAGACACCTGCTACCCATAAACACCAGTTCGTCTACTAGTCAACATTAATATTAGCGAAAGGCTGAGGACGAGAAAGAAAGGTGATTCATGGTTCCGGCTCAGCCCTTCCTGGATTTGACGGTGGTTGTTGCGGCGGTGTCATGGAAGAAATCTAGCAAAACGGCGCTCTTGCATTTGGGGCATTTAGGGTCATCCTCCGAAAGCATAACGTACATCAAGCACCTCGGGCACCCCACCAGAATCATGGATGTTGCCTCGGGGCTGCTCGAATATCCGACGTTACCAGTATCGACGTCCTGGTTCATCTCCGACGACACACATGAGCTCGGAGGAGATGTCGGTGACATGGTTGCCGATCGGCTCAATGATTCCACTCTCGGATTAACCCTCGGCGGCGATAAGTTAAGCTTCAACTCAAGCTTGGGTCCACTCCTACGGCTCATCTTTCTCCTCCCTCCGTACAAATTTAAACCTGAATGAAACATATTAGAAAACCAAAAAAGATAACACAAATAGACAATATACAACAACTGAATTGTATTGAAAATTTCAAAACATGGGTTACCTTAATGGTCAAGTAACTTCGACCTAGCTGAAAACAAACTCCCGTTGTTGAAGAAACAGAAACAAGGGGAAGAAGGGAAAATGGTGATGGGGATGAAGCAGAAAGAGCAAAATATATAAAGGGAGAGAAGATGAAGATGATAATTAAAACTTAATTAAATCAAGGTGGGGAAGAGTAGGTTGGAGAGAAGGAAATGAAATTTAAGGATTGGTAGAAGAAGAGTGTAAAATGAGGCCAGGAAACGTATTAATGGCTTGAAAAAACAAACCCCACTAAGTATGCAGGAGGAAAATGGCAGTAAATGTTATTGCGATTTAACAAATCTGCAGAGGAGGAGAAGCCATTTCATTCATTGCAATGGTTTTCGAGAGGAATACACCAGAGAGAAAGAAACCCTCAACAGCTTTTATGTCTAATACCTCTGCATTTTTAAGAAACTAAGGCCACCTAAGAATTTAATATCGAACACCAAAATTTAATGCCAACCCAATGGAATAGATTTTATTTTTCATACAACAACTGTGATTAAAAATGAATACACCCCATGATCCATATGGCGATAAAATTTAACCCATTGTTCAGATAGTCATTTTAGTCGTATATTCGTTTTTAGAGCATTTTAGCATTTAGTGTTTTGATTTTCGATTAAAATAACACTTGTTGAATAAAATCATTAGTTTATTGATAATCAACACATATTATAGATGTGATGTTTTTGTATGTGATTAAATTAGTGATGTTAAACATATCACATCATCATTGTAAATGACGTGACATCGGTGATAAAGTCAAAATTAAATATTGATAGGAGCCGAAATATTAAACTATTTAAAAAATTATAAAGACTTATTATATATTTAAACTTAAAATTTATCATGAACCACCTTAATGAATAAGAAATTGTTTTTATCCTTGAGATCCTGAGTTCGAGTATTGTGTATATACGGGTATGAGTGTTCCTTGTCACATAGTTGAAAGTCTATATACATATACTACCTTGTCTTCACCCTAAATTTATATAAAAAAATGAAAATTCACAAGACAACTCCTTAATTTATCTAATATTTAAACTTACAATGACTTAAATTATAATTAGACCAAAAATTTGAGAACACAAACTTATCATTCTTTAGTTCGGCCCCTACTTGATTAAATATTAAATATTTTTTATTTTTAAAATTTAATTATTTATTTTTATATGAACCAAAATACCATTAAACCAAAATTATATCAAACATACAAATTTTAACAGAAGTCATGGCCCCCTTGGACTCTAACAAAGCTTCGTCCATGCGTGACAAATATTATATCATTATTATATTGATGCGGCTTGTTATGTATCAACAATTAAACATATGTTAATATGTCAGATCAGTAACATAAGTTTAAAAGAAATAAAGATTAAAATAATTATTTAGAGAGAAGTTACCATTACCATTTCCATTTTCAAACGTTGGGGTTTCCATGATAAACACTTTGCTTGCTTCACGTTTCAACTATTGAAAACAGGTGAGCAGTCCATTTCCTGATTAAAGGCAATAACTCTTCTTTTCCCGTTCAAACAAATCCTATTTCCCTTTCCTTCTAAACAATATAATTATAGAAATTTGCATCCACAAACCTTGCATGGATATATCACATTTTCCCTTTCGCCATAATTGCCCTCCTAATTTTAATCTTTTTCAGCACCCATGTGATCTTATTAATTGTCTCAGCCTCTGTATCATCGATTTATTTTACTTTTTGCGACCAATTCAAAACAAATATATGCACATCATTTTGATATAGATGAGTATTTAACAAATAATACTTTTTTACTTCAAAATTTTAAAAATAATGATAAAATTATTCTTTAATATTTTGTTAAATTAAAAATAGGTTTATGATTAAATACAGAGGCTTGATTGATTTATTTTTTGTTCCTTAAAAATGAGCTTTGTCCATGATTTGGATATGTATTAAATGAATCAATGTTATCATATTTGAGAAACGACCATTTCCCCTTGACTATATCTTTAATTAGATAGCTGACAAGCTAGCAAATAATCCTTATTCATCTGCATTATTATGAGTTACTTGCATTGTATGTCCCCAAACTATGTCCCTTATTTTAAATTGATCCTTAAGCTTTTGAATATTTTGATTTAATCCCTAAACTATTTCTCATTCTAAAATGGCTCCAGACTTTTGAACATTCAAACTTCATATCCGAACCATGGCCCTTATTCTATATTGGTCCCGGAACTTTTGAATGTTTTAATTTCATCCCCTAACTTTTGAATGATTTAGGGACGTTATTGGTATGTTCAAAAGTTTAGGGATCGATGTAAAATATGGGTTATAGTTTAGCGATGATTTTGGAATTTTAAAAGGTTTAAGGCCTAATTTAGAATGAGAGCCATAATTTGGGGATAAAATTAAATTATTCAAAAGTTTAAAGATTCATTTAAAATGAGAGCCATAATTTGGGGATAAAATTAAATTAAATTTAAGGAACAAGACTTAATTTGATTCATATTTAAACTTGGACGGGGGACCTTAGTGCCATTTTACCAATTGTTTTAGTTAAACAAGCATGTAAAAACCTAAGGAGCTCTAATGCAAAATAAATTAATTGAAAACAACAGTCTACATTGTAAAAGATATATTACAAAATTTATTTAAAAATGATAATTGATCATTTTTGTATTATCGATATATTTTTTACTTAAGGCTGATTTATGTACATAATATTTTTAAAGAATTCTTCCGTACTTAAGATTTTGGAAGAATATTTTCGAATATAAAGAAATTAAGATTTTTTGATATTCAGTGATGTGTTATTATTATTATCATTAACATGTATTTGCGTTTAGAATGTTATAAATATATATTAAAATTTTAAGGGTTAACTAGACGGATGATCAATTATGTTTGTGTTCTGTTCATTTTTGGTCAATGATTTTAAAAAACATAAGATATAGTCACTTTCTTTTTTATTTAATTAAGATATGGTCATCACGGGTTAACTTCTGTTAACAATTAACAGAATATGTGACGTGATAGTTTGTATAATCACACATTTGGTCTTTGTTATTTACATATTCTCTTAATTTAGTTATACTTTTAAATAAATTTTAACATAAAATATATATTTTTAAATGAAATATGTGACATGATAGTTTGTATAATCACACATTTGGTCTCTGTTATTTACATATTATCTCAATTTAGTCATACTTTTAAATAAATTTTAACATAAAATATATATTTTAAATGAAAATAAAATAAAATATTTTTAAAATTAAGTTAATAATAAAATATATTTAATAAGTTAATATAAAAATATTTTTTAAGTTAATATGTCTAAAATAGTATGAATTTAAGTATTTATACACTAAGATACAAAAACATATACACCATGTTGTTTATTTTGGACCAAGCAATGGTCTTGGCTTAATAGTTGAATACATGTTTAGTTTCCTAATTGGCCAAGGTTTGAATTTTTTTGTCCCAATTTGAGTTTGTGGTTGTAGTTACGGATGCAACTACGGTATCGCGATTACTTTTTTTTCTTTGAAAATACGCGATTACATATGTTAAGAATGGTGACGATTTTATAAATGTTTTTGAGGATAAACACATATAGGATAACAACCCAAAATTTTAGGACGGACACCATGAATAAAACAAGAAACTAATCGAAAAAAATTGAATTCCAGAATGGACACACACTCACTCTCAACTATATGTGACACCACCACCGTTAGAAACGTTATGATGTGATTTATTTCCGAAAAGTAACTCCGTTTTTACGTTGTAGATGTGATTTATGATGTTTTAATGACCTTGAAAAATATTTCGATAGGATCGTTACACTGCGTTACAATCACAATTTAATACTATATTTGTATAAATTTGGTATGGGAGGAGCGATAGTTTGGAGAATGCGGTTATGCATGGTTTTATGGATGGTCATTCCGTTGACGCTGGGATGAGCAGGGTTGTTACTGGATCTAGTTGGCTTTGGATTGAAATCGAGTTTATTTTTATGAGAACATGATAGGATTTTTTTAGGGTTATTAAAAAATTAATGATGATATTGATATATCAACATAAGATAATATCATGTCAACAATCCTATTATTCTTTTAACCGTGGATACCAAAATAAAACCAAAATATAACATGAAGTATGATTTAAAAAATATTCAGGTGACTAAAACAAAATAAAAGTGATACTTAGAATACTAAACTTAAATTCATAAGTTTAGGTAATTATATGACATAATCTCATGGTATTACAATATCTCGTTTTAGCATCATTACAGAACGCGTACAAATACAAAAAAAAAAAAATCATATATCAATATAAATTAAGAAAAGTTCATAGTACTAACATAATACACAAGTTCAAATGCCATTATAGCCCAAAAACCATTAAGTATCATAAGCTAAAATGTAGTTTACTAATAAAAATATGAAATATAAAATAATGACGTAAAAACATGTAAAAACATGTTAAATAATTTTTTTTAAAAAAATAGATTGGCCCTCACCAATAATACACATGTCGGGCAGTGGGGGACTACACCATCAGCTTATGTATTTATTACACTGACCTAAAATCAACTACGAGAAAAAGAAGTATATTCACACCAATAACTTTCTCATTCGAAACATGTACTTTGTAGTCTCTTTAATTTTTCAATTAAATTTGGCTTTCAAATTTACCTAAGTGACTACTAATTTGGATATATAGTTAATGCATAATCAGAGATAGAATAAGGGACGATGAGTAGCCATTCTTTAAAATTTTTAAATTATATTTTAAAATTTTCTATGTATTTATTATTTATAATCTATTTCAACCTTGAAAATTTTTAAAATTATTTCTTCTTAAAATTTTAAAAGTTTTCTCATAACATAAAATCTTGCGTATCTTTTTATGTATAATACAAATATAATATATATAGAGACACTCATTTTCTTCCGGATTTTTTTATATAATATACACTATTATATGTTATATATTATTTTATATAATATATATTATAGTATGGTATATTGTATAACATATATTATAGTATTTATATAGTATATAATATATGTTATATGGTATTATATATTATGGTATTATATATTATAGTATTATATTATAGTATTGTGTTATATATTATATAGTATAGTATTATATTATATATTATTTTATATAGTATAGTATTATATTATATAGTATATAT